TAAAGACACCAGGATCCATTGTTGTGATGATGTCTCCTCACCTTTACCTAACCTGAATCTTACCCCTAGTTTGCCCCTCAGCGCACAAACAAACAGCTTTCTCTCTGCAATTAAGGCCCAGCGTATCAGCATATTAAGCACTGCCTTTGCATTTGTGTGTGTTAGTGAGAGTGTGTGTGCTCCCTATTTGCTCTTCAGGCCTTTGCTAGTCTGCGGACTTTGGCCATTTCTTATCACAGGGAGAGGTTGTGGGATCCCTAAGTCCTCACTCCTAAAAATACACTCGCCAACGCTAACATACACACATAAACATGCACACACACACACTCTGGGTATGATGGGCTCCCTTTTATAAAGCTGTCATTCAGAAACCTAGACAATATGATTGGTCAGTGGCATTTTGCACAACGCTCACCTGATTAAAACAAGTCACTCACAGAACTCCCTTAGGATTTTTCAATATTTTTATAGCTACCAGCAACACCCAGGAATGGAATTTCAAATATTAGCATACAAGCATCAAAGAAATATTTTGCAAGTGAGTTGGTTAAGTAGCTTTCCAAACAGTGGAGGCCATCAGAACAAAAGACGTTTTGATGATTCAATTCTTATCATCTGTAATTGAGAGTTTTGTGATGTGTTTGCGCTGCTATTCAAACACTGTGAACCAAGAGTTTAATTTAGCACTTGAGCACGTCACCTATGAGAACCTGCAACTGAGGAGTTAATAATGTAATCAAAAACAAAAAACACACACCCTCCTGGTTAATAGTAAGTGTGTGTTTATGTGAGGATCTGTGTTGCTGAAGCCCAGGTGTCTTGCTGAGCAGACTTGTGTCCCTCGCAGCGTGACCCCTTGACCTTACCTGGTAAAACACATCTAATCCACAAGCACAACATACAGATAATTTACCATAACACACAAATCCACACACTTAGGTACACATACACACCTGCAGGACCATAATCCTATAATAATATAGTTCCTATTTATATAAAAATGTATTATGAAGAAATATTGAAATAGAGCTTAATCTAACTAAAAGACCCACTCACTTTTAACCAAAATATTATGACTAAGCTTGACCCCACAAAAGAATGTAGGATATTATTTTATCTGCATTTAGTAGACAATTGAAATCCGAAAATTAAAACCAAAAGGACTTTGAGACTCCTCAGACATGATTAAAGGTCTTTAAGGGACAATTTGACAGACAAAGACCCAACATTGATTAGCACTGTTTCATCATTATCAGTATCACAAGAGTAGATCCATGTTGATCAACCTGATAAGATAAAACAACACTAACGGGTGACATCAGCAGAAGCAGACGAGAATTAATATGTTCTTCCTAATTTGCAAAACAGCATGCCATTGTGTGATTGTGTGTGTGTGTGTGTGTGTGTGTGTGTGTGTGTGTGTGTGTGTGTGTGTGTGTGTGTGTGTGTGTGTGTGTGTGTGTGTGTGTGTGTGTGTGTGTGTGTCTCGCTCCTATCAACAGGGTATTCTACCTCCTGGGTTTTCCTGCTTCTCCATTTGAAGTCCTCTTCCTGGAGCCAGGAGTCTACTAGTCAGAGTGTGTGTGTGTGTGTGTGTGTGTGTGTGTGTGTGTGTGTGTGTGTGTGTGTGTGTGTGTGTGTGTGTGTGTGTGTGTGTGTGTGTGTGTGTGAGCATTTGTGTGTGCAAGGAAGAGGGGCCAAAGTAAGTCACCGACCCCAAATGATTGAATCTCAGCCCCAGCCAAGACGGTGACAGTTTT